ATGCCCCTATAGACACCTGGAGCAACCAGAGTACTTTCTTGCAAAAGTAAAGATATGTATTTCGTAGAAACCACTCAAGATGGAGATACATGAAGTCAAAAACCAACTTTGAACACAAGAAGTGTGGTTATGCCAATAAAGTGTCAAATGGGGAAAAGACAAAATAGGGAAAAGGACGAAATAGGGAAATGGATGAAAAGTGAATAGTGTCGAAAAACGAAAAATGTGGAAACGACTCGGTCCTCAAAAGAAGTTGTCAATCCACAGAAAAGAGTCTCGGAAATCACTCCAGAGCACTCGAGACGACACTAAGCGAAGAGGAACTGAACTCCGAAAAGAAAGACAACGGAAAAAAAATATCCGTGAAAATCTGGGTCATTACATTGTATGCTCTGAAGATTAGGGTGAGAGGCATGGCATAGAAGAGGTGAGTTTTTTCTTTCTTAGCGCAATCAATCATGTGATGAAAGATAAGGAAGGCTAGATCAAATTTCTTTCCATTTAGGACGCACCAGATAAGAAAAGCTTCCATGAATGAGACATCCGAGCGACCACCGGATTTTGGAAGGATGTTGTGAATGATGACATGGTAAATAAGATGAGCTTGTACTGTTAATTGGCTTGCATAGATTTTATCAATGTTGTTGGTGGGAAATTAACTCATTTGTTGAACAGCTTGGTAAGGGTTAAACCCTTCCCCATCATACCAGTCATAGGCAGTGTAATAGGTGATATCGCCGTTGGAAATGTTGAGAATACGACGAATACTTAACAGAGGGAGAGTAATCTGAGTGCCTACAACGAAGGAAAGGAAAGTGTTCTGCCCTACTATCCTTTCAAGATGAGTGTAAAATTACCTAACTACCTTGGGGTAGATAGGAACCTTAATGGATAAGAATTCACCCAAGCCTATTGCTTCAAAGAGAGAGAAAGTGTGTGTGATGAGTTCCTCAATTTCAACTCTATCAAAGAACTTGCCTTTTTCAACAATTTTGTGAAGAAATTTTGTTTCATAAACCTCTTTGTACTTAGGTGATCGAAATAGGCGCATAGCTGGGGCAGGATATGGGTTGGAAGTATCAGGATTTGGGAGATTAGACCCTCCAACTTCAGTATCATGAGTATGCTTAGTTCGCTTTTCTTGATCCCTTTTAGATCCAGAAGGATTTTTGCAGGATGCCATGGGTTTTTTTTCAAGAGATGAAGGTTTCAGTATGACAAGATGTAATGTAACAAAATCTAACCTAGGTATATGTCAGATTATAGAGCACTAGAGATGAACAAGATCCAACTTAGAATGATGCAACAAAGTTAGATAATAGCAAGAGATGAACTTGACCAAGAGATAATGAATTCAAAGTGCAACTTACCTTGAAAAGAAACGAGAGAGAGAGATTGAGTGGGAGATTCGTAAGGGTTTCGTGCACACACACAGTCGCCTCAAGAGAACGAGAGAGATAGGGTTTTAAGATTTGAAGTTTAAAATGAGATTCACGGTTCTTAAAAGGCAAATATGGGCTTTACGTGATGGGGCCCCGAAGATTCGGTCGACCGAAATGGCTTCATCTGTCGACCGAAATGGCTTATAAAGAGAATCATCAATCCTTATTTTGGTCGACCGAACCATTGTTTCGGTCTACCAAAATGATGATCCTGAGGGGTTGATTCTAAAGTGATGATTCTGAAGGTTCAGCAGATGTAATGAATTTCTCTCTCTATTGCCATTCCGATTTCTCGATGGAGTGTACAAAACCTATCTTCTTGAAGTGGCTTCGTGAGAATATCAGCCAATTGATTCTTGGTGTTAATGAACATTAATTCAATATCGCCTTTAGATACATGATCCCTTAAGAAATGATATCGAATTTCTATGTGCTTTGTTTTAGAGTGTTGAATGGGATTCTCTGATATGCAAATGGCGTTGGTGTTTTCACATTTGATAGGGATTTTGTCGAAGAATAAACCAAAGTCTTCTAGCTATTGTTTGATATAGAGAATTTGTGCACAACAACTACCAGCAGCAACATATTCAGCTTCAGCGGTAGATAATGCGACTGAATTTTGTTTCTTACATGACCACCGCTTGTACTTTTTCTTTTAACTTTGCAACCAACAAAATCAGCATCTGTAAATCCTACGAGTTCAAAGGATGTGTGCCTAGGATACCATAAACCTAAGTCAATAGTACCATTCAAGTATTTAAAGATGCATTTGACGGCATTCAAAGAGATTCCTTAGGACAAGATTGAAACCTAGCACATAAGCACACACTAAACATTATATCCGACCTACTAGCCATTAAATATAGAACACTTCCGATCATTCCTCTATATTTCTTAATATCAACTCCTTGCCTTTCTCTTCCTTATCAAGTTTTAAGGAAGGACTCATGGGAGTTTTAGCATGTTTGGCGTCTTCCGAGCCAAATTTCTTTAGCAAATCTTTAGTATACTTTGATTAGGAAATGAAAATTCCATCAAGATTTTGTTTGATTTGCAGCTCTAAAAAGAAGTCGAGTTCACCCATCATGCTCATTTCCAACTCGTTTTGCATGGAGGTGGCAAACTCTTTACTTAGTGTGTCATTTGTTGATCCAAAAATAATATCATCAACGGAAATTTGAATAATCAACAAATTGCCATTAATGATTTTAGTAAAGAGTGTGTTATCAATCTTACCTCTCCAAAATCCATTTGAAAGTAGGAACCCACTAAGTCTTTCATACCAAGCTCTAGGAGCTTGCTTCAAACCATATAAAGCTTTAGTTAATTTAAAAACATTGTTTGGATAATCATAGCTTTCAAAGCCCGGTGGTTGTTCTATATATATTTCTTTATCAATAAAACCATTTAAGAAAGCACTCTTTACATCCATTTAAAATAATTTGAAATTTTTGTGAGATGCAAATGCAAGTAACATTCTTATTGCCTCAAGCCTAGCAAAGGGAGCAAAAGTCTCTTCATAATCTATACCTTCTTCTTGGTTATATCCTTTTGTAACAAGTCTAGCCTTGTTCCTAATAATAGTTCCCGACTCATCCTTTTTGTTTCTAAAAACCTATTTTGAGCCGATAATTGTTTTATTTTGAGGTCTAGGGACAAGATTCCAAACCTTGTTCCTTTTGAATTGAATGAGTTCTTCTTGCATTGCCAAAAGCCAAGATTCATCATTTTCAGCCTCATGTATATTTTTAGGTTCGAATTGAGAAACGAATGCCACAAAATTACATACATTTCTTAATTGTGACCTTGTGCTAACACCTTTGGATGGATCACCAATAACTTGGTCAGTGGGATGATTATGAACTAACTTCTATTCAGTTGGAATAGTTTTATTTTGAGAGGTATCATCACTTGAATTGGAACTTTGATAGATATCAATAGGAGACTCATTTATGTTGAGATCATTGATACTCTTCTCAAGCTCTATAAGGGACCTATTTGTATCAAGATCATTGGTACCCTTTTCAAGTTCAACTTCTTCATCATTGTCCATCACACTTTTTGTGGGAGAGGTTGGGGATTCATCAAACACAACATGTATGGATTCAACCACAACTAGGGTCCTGTTGTTATAAACTCTATATGCTTTACTTCTAGAGGAATATCCAAGAAAAATGCCTTCATCGGATTTGGCATCAAACTTTCCTAGATTATCCTTGTCATTGAGGACAAAGCATTTACACCCAAAAACTTTGAAATAGCCTATATTAGGTTTTCTTTTGTTCCATAACTCATAGGGTGTTTTGTTGAGAATCTTTCTAATAACAACTCTATTTATAACATAGCATAAAGTATTTACAGCTTTGGCCCATAGAGATCCAGGTGATTTGTGCTCATTTAGCATTGTTCTAGCCATTTCTTGAAGAGATCTATTTTTCCTTTCAACCACACCGTTTTGTTGGGGAGTCCTAGGTGCCGAGAGATTATGATTGTAGCCATTTTCGTCGCAAAATCTTTCAACATCTTGATTGTCAAACTCTCTACCCCTATCACTTCTAATGGTTTTAATTTTACATTTCTTTTCGTTTTCAACTCTTTTGCAAAATTTTGAAACAATTGAATGAGCCTCATTTTTGCGTGCAAGAAAGAATACCCAAGTGAATCGAGAGTAATCATCTACAATTACAAAGGCGTAAAGTTTACCACCAAGACTAGCAATTTTCTCCGGTCTAAAAAGATCCATGTGGATCAATTCAAGTGGTTTTGAAGTGGTTATATCTTTTTTCCTTTTGAAGGAGGATTTGATTTGTTTACCGATTTGGCAAGCACTACATAGTTTGTCTCTTGAAAAATTTGTCTTGGGGAGACCTTTGACTAGTTCATTTTTAGACAATCTTGAGATTAAATTCATGCTACCATGACCTAACCTCCTATGCCATAACCAACTATGTTCATTGGATGACATGAAACATTTAACATCTTGTTCTTGAAGTTCACCTAAGAGCAAGGTATATACATTACCACTTCTAGGAGCACAAAATATTTGAGATTCATTTCTTTTAACAATGCATTTATCCGATTTAAAAGTCATATCAAATCCATTATCACAAAGTTGACTAAGACTAAATAGATTTTGCTTTAAACCCTCAACAAGTAAGACATATTTAATTGATAAAGAATGAGAAATACATATGATCCCAATGCCAATTACCTTGCCTTTAGAATTATCTCCAAATATTACGCTTCCTCCGTTGTATGCTTCTAGAGAGGAGAATTTTGCGGGGTCACCCGTCATATGTCTTAAACATCCGCTATCTAGAAACCATTTGTCCTTGGAAGATGTGGAGACTTTGAAACCATCTTACAAAAGAGATTTCAAATATTTTCACTTGGTACCCAAATCTTGTTGGGTCCGTGGGAGTTAGCTAAGAGCATATATGTTCCTTTAAGAACCCACTTCTTTATGAATTTAGGTTTTCTCTTTGAGCACTCTTGAATAAGATGACCTAACCTTTTATAATAATTACATTTAGAATTTTTGTTCTTGCTCTTAACAAATTAGTTAGTCAAAGACTCTCTTTCATTCAATAGACATGCTTTCTTGTCAAAAGGGTCATATCCTAAACCATTTTTATTAAAGACACCTCTTTGAGCACCTAGCATAAGTTCTAGATTTTTGGTACCTTGAGTGAACTTTGCTAGACTATCAATTTGGTCTTCAATGATTAACTTCAAGGATTCATTTTTAGATATGAGTTCAGGTGATCCTGTTTCTCTAAGTGAAATACATTCCTTTTTCAAGCACTCATTTTCATTTAGAAGAGTTTGAAGTTTGTTTTCAAAGATAAGTTTTTCTTTTCTTCGAGAAGCACATTTGTTGACCATTTTACCTAATTCATCATGCAATTCTTTAAAGCTATCAAGTAATCCATTATATGCATCAACTAAATCAGCATAAGCAATTACATTTTTGGAAGAAGAGTCAGAATTAGAGTTTACCTCATCCCTACTTGCCATGAGATAAAAAATGGCTTTTTCCTCATCGCTTTCGGATCCATTTGAGTCGTCGTCTTCCCAAGTGGCTTGCATTGCTCTTTTCTTTTTCTTTTCCTCTTTATAGGCATGGTAATCAGCTTTAAAATGTCCCGGTTTTCCACAATGAAAATAGGTAGGGGAGTCACGTTTGCCTTGCTCATTAGATGATTCTCCCTTTTTGAACCTTCCTTTGTTGAATTCCTTCCTATGAATAAATCTTTTGAAGGATTGCGTGATAAGAGCTAGATCATCATTTTCATTTTCATTGCCGGAAACTTCCTTTTCCATTTGAGAGACTTTTAGAGCAATTTCTTTCTTTCGATGATGATCTCCTTCTCTATCTTTTAGAGTGATCTCCCATGTGAGAAGAGAACCGAGAAGTTCTTCCAACTCAAGTGTATTAAGGTTATGAGCTTCCTTAATCGCATTTGCCTTAGCATCCCATTTTTTAGGTAAGCTTCTAAGAATTTTCCTTGCAAGATCAGAATTAGTTATAGTTCTGCCAAGGTGCTTTAAGCCATTAATAATGTCAGTAAATCTCACAAACATTGTATTAATAAACTCATTTTCATTCATGTGAAACAATTCATATTGATGCATAAGGATATCAATTTTGGATTCCTTAACTTGTGATGTCCCTTCATAAGTAATCTGGAGTTTATCCCAGATTTCTTTGGCTGTGGTACAAGTAGAGATTCTATTATATTCACAAGGACTTATAGCACAATTAAGATTGACTTTGGCTTTGGCATTCAAGGAGATAAGTTTATAATCTTCGGTGTTCCATTTAGCTTCAGTCTTAGGGACTTTTCCAGCACCAAATCCTTTCATTAGAACAAAAGGTCCATTAACAATAACCAACCAGATTTGGTAGTCTATAGATTAGAGGAAATCTATCATTCTATTTTTCCAATAACCATAATTTGTTCCATCGAACCAAGGAGGTCTAGTATTAGACTGACCTTCTTGAAGAAGGTGACCTTTTAAGTTTGCTATGATCAATCTCTAAAACACTTAAACTTTTTTAATAGAGACCTAGCTCTGATACTAATTGTTGCCCAAGTATAGACTCTAGAGGGGGGGTGATTAGAGTCTAAGCAAACTAAGGTCAATTTTTCAATATTGATTTACCAACTAGAGTTAGACTCAACTTATTTGACAAATATTAAATGATGCAATCTGAATTTTAAGCTTTAATTGTCAATATTTATGAAGAGGCATATCAAGACATACATGGAGCAATAAATATAAGAGATAAAGATAGAAGTTGCAAACATGTACTCAGCGATTTTAGCGAGGTTCGGAAAGTGCTACTCCTTGGCTCAAGACCCCTCTTGAGACTTCCCAATCCACTATGGCACCTCCTTACGGGTGGAGAGCAAACCTTTTACAAGAAGCTCTTCCTTGCTTCTAAGTGCTAAGAAAACACCTTCTCTTAGTCTTGCTTGGGCCACACCAGCCCTTACAAGTTTTGAACAAGATTGATGAAGTATAAAATGATCTTTTTTAGATCTAAAGTACAAGATTCAGCTCACTCTAGAGTATGTATGAATAACTTGAAGCTCAACTCTTTTTTATGATATAAGATGTGTGTAAATGATGATGAAAAGCTTTTTGATTGCTAGAAGATCTTTCTCAATTAATGCAACAACTTTTATGAAGACGACCAGTCATTATATAGACTTTCAGAACTGTCTGATAAGAGTTATAGCTGTTAGACACGCACTTCAAAAAAAAATGCCCGTTTGAATTTTGAAAAACGCAGCTTCGGTTAACCGAAATGAAACACCCTTGTGTTTCAGCCATCCAAAATGGTTTTACGTGTGGACATCATCCTCTCAGTACTCTTGGTTCGGTAGAACGAAGTAAAGCCCTTTTCTATTTTGGTCGACTGAAATGGTTTCATCATTCTCAGTACTTTTATTTTGGTAGACCAAATTCAAACTCTTAGTTGTTTCGGTCATCTGAAATGATTTTAAAATTTGAGCATCATTCCCAGTACTTTTATTTCAGTAGATCGAAATGAAATGAAGTTCTATTTCGGTAGACCGAAATAGCTAGAGGTTTTGATTCAAACTCTTATTTAATTCGGTCGACTAATACAATAAGCCCTTCCATTTCGGTAGACCGAAATGGACTTTCATTTTCAGGAACTTGTTCAGATGAAGATTTACTTAAGACCTTTGATCCTAAGTTATTGTGAATGAGTTGATGTGTATAATATTGGAGAGTTTGAGCTTCAAGATGTTCATATATACTTTAACAAGATTTCCTAAGAAACTCACCAACCTAGCTAACCCCATTTTGATGAGTTGTGATGACTTGTCTTTGACTCTTGGTTGCTTAGTCCTTTGCTTATGCCTTGGTGTACTTCTTCAGTTTTGCTCTTGTATTGTAGTGACTTGTTTTGATGAAAGCTTTGATCTGTAATTTCACTCAAGAAGACATTAGTGAACATAGAACATCATTAATGAATTATGATCATCAAAAGCCTTAGATTCAAGATCAACAATCATGAATGAGGTGTGGCCAAGGGCCAAACACCATTTTGTTTTAGCCTTTGCATTTTAGTTTCATTTATTATGTTTTGAGGCATTTTTGGCCATTGAGAGGTCATATTTTGCATTTAGGACATTTTGAGGCTGCGGACCATTGGGACGCGTCTTAAATGTCTTTTTACGTTTGCGTGCATGTCCACATTTCACAAAACTCTTAAGTTTCAACTTTTGACCTATTTTTGGGCAATTTTATGAATTTTTATGAAAATTCATGCATTGGGGTATCATTTTAAGTTTTCTCTCGTTTTAGCATGTTTTAGATGCTTGCATGAGGTTAGGGAATGTTTTCAAACGTGTTTGGATCATGTAGAATGCATGTATAGCCTTAGAGATGGACCAAGCATCACACACACACACATTACAGCAGCTTTTTCTACTACAGCAGATGTGTCGGTCGGCTGATGAGGACCCATCAGCCAGCTGACCAAACTCTCGAGACCATTCCAGTAGGCTTTTTAGGAAAAACCTCGTTTTAGCCGACTAATGATTAGGGTTCGGATGACCAACTATTGAGCTTCGGTCGGCTAATGGTTGCATTTCGGTCGACTGATCCTCCCTAGGACGATCTTTTTTATCTTTTCCCTGGATAACTTTGTTGTTCTAACTTTGGGGAATCATATCTCTTTCATTTCTAATCCAAATCTGGTCATCTTGAGTTTAAGTTCAAGAGCTTGAAGTTATATTTCCAATGTTACCAACCACTCATCAAAACTCTACGTATAGTGTGAGTCATTCCAGTTTTAGTGAGATATGTTAATGGTAACTCTTAAACGACGAAGGCCACTTTGTTTTAATTTCATCCATTTTCCGTCCGGACTCAGAATCAAGTGATTCTTGAGTCCAACTTTGTTCATTTTTTGTTCTTCTTCTAATGTTGTACAAGCTGGCACCCTTTTCAGTGTGAAATGACCATTCTGCCCTTGGTTTATTTATTATCAGGTTTGGCATTCTTACTGCATTTGTTGGCTCATTTGAGTTCCGTGGCTTCACGGAGAGTCATCTTGGTGCCTTAGGGATGACGTACATCTCTTAAGGCCATCTTGCTTCTTTTGTTTGTGCATTTCGGATCCGTTATCGGGTCATCTTTTCGTTCATCATAAGACACACTAGGTTGAAAGATCCAGGGTCTTACAATCGATGGTATTTCTAAGCCATGGACCATTGTAACGCATCCTAATAGGTAAGTTATATCTACATGCATAATCGTTTTCAAGAAAAACCTCATCCTTAGTGATTTGAGCTTCCTATGGACTCATTTTGCATTTTTATTGCATAAACCGGTTTAAGGGCATTTTGGGTATTTCACCTAAAAAAATAAAAACTTCTCTTGACATGGTCATATGGAAAACGTGATTTTAGGGAGGTTTCTTCTTTGTGTTTTTCCAAAAAATGTCGTTTCGGACACGAAAACCCCATTTCAAATTTAATTTTCTGATCGAAATTTTTTTTGCTTGCTATCAGCCTCATCTAATTGATTAGATGGTCTTTCGTGGGATTTCCGGCATTCTATTTTGGTATCACGATTAGATGGATCATCTAATCGATTCGATGGTCCTGACCCTTTTTCTTCATTTGATCAAAACTTTGTCATCCAGACTCCGAATCAAGTGATTCTTGAGTCTAAATTTATTATTTTTTTCGTTATCTTTTGAATGGTGTGCATGGTAGCACCCATTTTTGGGTAAAATAATCATTTTACCCTTGGCCCATTTCTTGTAGGGTTTTGAAATCCTTGCTCCCTTCTTGCTTCCTTTGAGTCTCGGGACTCCTCAGGGAGCCACTTTTGTGTCTTAGGGATGACGTACATCTCTCTAGACTTTCATTTTGTGTGAAAAGACCATTTTACCTTTAGAGGCATACTCGGTCTATTTTTGACCTTTTTCTTCCGTGTTAGTTCTCGTTGAGTTTCGTGGCCTCATGGAAGGTCACTTTGGCGTCTTAGAGACGCATTGTATCCCTAGAGACTAGGTTTCTATTTTTGCTTCTGCATTCGAAATCCATTAATGGATCAACTTTTGGGTCATCACTGACGCACTGGGTCACAAAGACTTAGGCCGTCACAGACAATGTGCGGTTTAAGTTTGGGGATAAGGCGACTTTGTTGCATTCTTCTTAAGTTGGAGTTTTAATTGCATAATTGAGATTTAGGATCCATTTGAGCTATAATTTTGATCTTTTGAGGACTATGATACTTAAAATTTAAAAATTGCTTGATTTGAGAGTCCAATACTCCTTGTATGCCTTGTCGATGCGATTTAGGAGTAAATTTTTTGTGAGATTGATATCTTGCTTGCATTTGTGGTCTACATCATCTTAATCTTATGATTGTTTTGAGATTCACTCTAGGGTTCTACACTAGCACAGGCGCACACTAGCATTCATTTGTGGGGTACATGCTTTGTTGACTATTGACTTGGTTATATCCCAATTGAGCTAGTAGTACATTGAAAGCTTTCATTCTTGACAAAGGTGGATAACAAACTTTTTTCACTAAGTAGCCGGGATTCTAGCCTTATCAAGCACTGAATTTCTCATGCCGAAAGGTGGAGGACACAAACTTTAGGTTTTTATTTATTTATTTTGTTTTAAAAAAAAAAAGTTGCAAAAGCAAATAAATAAAAAAAAAAAAAAAAGTGAGGACTACTCCCAAAAGGTGAGAAGTGCGAAATGATTAGATAGAGGTTGTTTTGATTTGTAACCTAGTTGATTTGAGCTTGTAAGTCCTTAGGGGTGTTTAAACACCTAATGCCCTAAAGCCGTCAAGTTTAGGAGTCATTGACCTGACGCTCGACCTCATGGATAGCTAGAAAGCTTAATAAATCAATACATTACACCATGCTTCCATCTTTGATCCTCTAGGTTAGTACCAAAAAATAAAAAAATAAAAAATAAAAAAATTTTGAGTGAAAAGAATAAGCGTACCTAGATGAATAAAGCTTTGATAAAAGGTCCATTATTTGTCTTAATGATCGGTACAAGATTTGTGTGCTAGTTTAAGACCATATGTGATCATTTCTTTAGTTGGCTTAGATAGCAACATATTTGATGCCGGTTCACTTAAAAAGGATTCTAGAGTTGTTTTGATTTGCATAATCATTATCTTGATGTGTGGAGGACCATACTTGCTAGCTTGGTGTTGAGATTTTGGAGAATTGCATGGAAAGGGTTGAAAAATTGCATACTTGAGGTAGTTTTCTCCTAATTCTTGTTTTTTATATGGGTGCCTCTTTAGTGAGAAAGAGCTCAATGTTTGTGGGTATCATTTC